GGATTAAAAACTCAAAATGTTTTAAATTTGCAAACAGAATTTATTTTATATTATCATGAAGCAATTATAGATACAAACATAGATGTAAACAACTCACAAATGTATGTATGTACACATTTAAACATTTTCCCATACAGCACACTTACCAAGTGTTTAATTTAATACTGAGGTATCTGTTAACATAAAGTTTCTTTACGAAAACACTGGCATTTGAGTTTAAAAAATAAGTAGAATAAGCATTCATATAATTAGTCCCATCAATTATCAACAAAATTAATTTTAGCTACACCTCCATACAATATAAAAACACTTAGCTCCATCTCCAGTTTACAAAAGTATATCAAAAACTTTCCTACCATCTCAGTGACACGAAGTAAAATAAACTTTTAATTCCATCTCAAAGTAACAAAAAGTGTTAATAAATCATGGTCAATAATTTAGTTTTACATCAGAAAAACCTTCATGCATTTTACAAGACCAATAATTCTACAACCTTTAATTAGAAATAAAAAGCAAATAATTAAATTTGTTAAATTCTAATCTTTCTTTATAAATCCCTTCATTGACTCTACAGTCAATCTCTATTAATATAAATACTTCACAAATGTATATACAGTTCTCATACTAAACATAAGTCCTTCATGGTTACTTTTATTCAGAACATACAATAAAGGTGAATCATTACCTGCAAATTTTTCAACAATCTCTACGTGAATTTTTATTTTACTGATTGCATTTCTTTTTGTTTACTTTGAGCCTTCAGTTCTAGTTGAAAATATCAATTATTTAATTAAAAAGAATATTGTTATACCATTAATGCCTACCATTTGCTAGAATCACCTGAAAACATAGCTTTTATTAACTTCATTTCCACAACTATATTATGAAACAAATAAAACGTATCTCTAACACTTATTACAATGTTTTGTCCAGTCACAGTATTACATGAAACAAATGATGTGACCAGCAGACTTCTCGACAGCAGTTTAACTTGACCGGATTAATCTATTAGAAGTGCTTAATAAGTAGGAAAGATTTACATTATCACTGTTCAATAGCCAAACTAATGATCGTAATAAATATATAATAACCATGCAAAAACAGCATACAATTTAATATATGTTTTATTATAGAGAAAACCTGTCTTAGTATAATATACACCAGATAATACGGTATAATGATAGAGAGCAAGATATGTTCTGGATTGTTCTATTTGGAAAAAGTTTATCCAGGATTTAAACCACTGAAGATTTTCTGATCTGTATATGGGTATACAGTGAGATTCATTCTGGACTGTTCTATACAGAACTGGTTTCAACAAACAGAAATGACATCATCCAAACAAAACATACACAGATATTTAGAAATGACATTATTGAGAAATATATATATATTTAGTGTTTGGTCTGTATGTGACACAAAAATAGCATGTAAATTTATATAAAAAACAATGTACGGGGATCATAGTACCACATCAAGCACCTGAGAACATAAATTGTTTATTTTCATACAGAAAATAAGACATTAAACTTATCTAGATACACTTCAGAAGAAATAAAATATATTAAAAAATAAACAACATACAAGTGGAGAACCTTTAAAAGCGAGTTAAAATATAGATCAAAACACAACAGTCTGATTCTTTACTAATAAACTAAAAACCTGTAACTTACACAATTTGAATGACTTATAGTTCCTTGTACATTTTTATGTAGAAAAGAAACATTAACAAAAGTAGAAGAACATTTACGTTAACAAAGCATAAATGATCTAACTAAAGCTCACAACTATCATTTTCTCCATATAAAATAATCGCAGAATTAAGTAAACAGGTTTAATATAGAGATAACAAAGAAGGAATGTTAATTTCCTGTCAATATTTCCACCACTGACACAAGAATTACAAACCTTCTGCTTGTAAAAAATCTGTCTTGTCTTCAATAAGTTAAATCAAAAGGTCTTCACATTTGACCACGTTATTTTTTTTGTAAGCAAGTTACTTAATAAAAAGGTTGATTCTAAAAGTGCTGTGGAAACTGGTATTTTACTGGAAAGAAGGGAAGATTCTTCCCAGCTATGTGATGTTCTACAATACATCTTCCCACCTCTATGATGTTCTACAATACATCTTCCCAGCTATATGATGTTCTGAAATACATCGTCCCAGCTATATGATGTTCTACAATACATCTTCCCACCTCTATGATGTTCTACAATACATCTTCCCAGCTATATGATGTTCTACAATACATCTTCCCAGCTATATGATGTTCTACAATACATCTTCCCAGCTATATGATGTTCTACAATACATCTTCCCAGCTATATGATGTTCTACAATACATCTTCCCAGCTATATGATGTTCTACAATACATCTTCCCAGCTATATGATGTGTTTTGGTACAGATGTACAACTGAAGAGTTGTGATAACTTCACTCTTTGCGTATCTTGAGTAGTGTAGTATTTTGATACAGACGTATAACTGAAGACTTGAGATAACTTCACTCTCTTCGTATCTCGAGTTATGTAGTGTTTTGGTACAGATGTACAACTGAAGAGTTGAGATAACTTCACTCTCTGCATATCTTGAGTTGTGTAGTGTTTTGGTACAGATGTACAACTGAAGAGTTGAGATAACTTCACTCTCTGCGTATCTTGAGTTGTGTAGTGTTTGATACAGATGTATAACTGAAGAGTTAACTTCACTCTCTGCATATCTTGAGTTGTGTAGTGTTTTGATACAGATGTATAACTGAAGACTTGAAATAACTTCACTCTCTGCATATCTTGAGTTGTGTAGTATTTTGATACAGATGTAAAACTGAAGAGTTGAGATAACTTCACTATCTGCATATCTTGAGTTGCATAGCCTCTTCATAAATGAATCACTGAGACAAGTTTACTTGTCCCAATATTGAGCTATGATCAGATTCGATATAGCATCTTTTTCTTTGAAATTAAAGTAGTTGTTTAATCAAATGTAAAAATATAAAGTTCAGACCAAACTTGTTTTTGCATCTAACACCTGGACGAAGATGATCCTGCTTTGTAAGTGAATTTTCAAGTATAAGCCCTGTGTACATTTTGTTATTAATTTGATAAACTACCCAAGTTAGCTGTAAATCTACACTTGTTTTTCAGGCACACATCATTATAGCAGCACATAATAATGAAGAAAAATGTTATTATTTATATAGCTATTAATTTGTTTATGATGATGTACAAAATAAAGCAATGATCAAACCTTGGCTACTTTCTGTCTTCTCTCTTCATTAGTTAATATTTCAGATACAAAAAAACCCACTTTTTAAAATAACCAGGAAGATTAATGAAACTTATATATCTGTTTGTGTTTTAAAATACATTTACATTTTTACAGATAGTTAAAAAAATTAAGATAATAATTCTTTCCTACCATTCAGGATCAAAGACAAACACGTTACAGCCTTTCTGTTGACATTTACAGAAAGACCAACACGTTACAGCCTTTCTGTTGACACTTACGCAAAGACAAACATGTTACAGCCTTTCTGTTGACACTTACACAAAGACAAACACGTTACAGTCTTTCTGTTGACATTTACACAAAGACAAACACGTTACAGCCTTTCTGTCGACATTTACGCAAAGACAAACACGTCACAGTCTTTCTGTTGACATTTACGCAAAGACAAAAATGTTAGTCTTTCTGTCGACATTTACGCAAAGACAAACACGTTACAGTCTTTCTGTCGACATTTACACAAAGACAAACACGTTACAGTCTTTCTGTTGACATTTACGCAAAGACAAACACGTTACAGTCTTTCTGTTGACATTTACGCAAAGACAAACACGTTACAGTCTTTCTGTTGACATTTACGCAAAGACAAACACGTTACAGTCTTTCTGTTGACATTTACGCAAAGACAAACACGTTACAGTCTTTCTGTTGACATTTACGCAAAGACAAAAACGTTAGTCTTTCTGTTGACATTTACGCAAAGACAAACACGTTAGTCTTTCTGTTGACATTTACACAAAGACAAACACGTTACAGCCTTTCTGTTCGACATTTACGCAAAGACAAACACGTTACAGCCTTTCTGTCGACATTTACGCAAAGACAAACACGTTACAGTCTCTCTGTTGACATTTACACAAAGACAAACATTTTAGTTTTTCTGTTGACATTTACACAAAGACAAAAATGTTACAGTCTTTCTGTTGACATTTATACAAAGACAAACATGTTACAGTCTCTCTGTTGACATTTACACAAAGACAAACATGTTAGTCTTTTTGTTGACATTTACACAAAGACAAACACGTTACAGCCTTTCTGTTGACATTTACATAGAGACAAACACGTTACAGTCTTTCTGTTGACATTTACACAAAGACAAACACATTACAGTCTTTCTGTTGACATTTACACA